GGGGAATATCTTTAGAGAACTGTGAGTGAATCATCTCTTTATTGCTGTGGCTCTAAGATCTGCATAAGGTCCAGACAAATCACGGTCTTTGAAAGATCAGCATCCTTCGAATTGTATACTTTCTTATAGCATAGGTCTGTGTATGTTTGAGTAACCATTTGTGCTGCATCTGGACAATGCAGCCTGGTGCTTATTCCCAGGCTTTGCTCTTTTCCTTCGCTGTGCCTGGAGATGATGGGAAATATGGCGACTCACAAACTGTCTCTCAGGGGAGGAAACTTGGATATTCTGTGTGGTTCTTTGTGGGTTTTTTTTGTTTTGTTTTTGTTCTGGTAAAGGAAAGGAGCACTCTTGTGTATTGCTGGGGAAATATGGATGGTGAGGAGAAAATGAACAGATCCTTGGGGATTTTTAGTCTGTTAAGGGAGTCTTCTGTATTTGGTGACATAAATTAAACTTGGCCATTTGTCTTCTGCTGTTGACTCCTCATTTCCCTGTGTGGTTAAAAGTCTCCTGTGCCAACAAACCTTCTCTCCCTACTGTATTGCACAGTTTACTGGGAGTGAGGCAAAACAATTGAGCAGATTTGAGAGGCTGGCAGGAGTGTGCTGTTGGGCATCTGTTGAGAATGGAGTGAAAGATGTGACCAGGAGAAGGTGGCGGGTTAAGGTGGCGTGGCCAAAGAAATGACACTGAAAGGGCTGCACATTCTCCCCAGCTCCAGAATTAAATCACAGAGAGCCAGGAGCTGACTTCTGAGAGGATCCTCCTGGCAGCTCCTGCTCCATCTGCCTTGCTGGAAGAGGAGAGGGAGCCAAGCAAAGAGTGGGCAGAGGGGAGCGCTGAACCACCCAACTCCTCTGCTGCTCCCCTAACTCGTGCTGAACTGTTCCCTTGACAAAGCACTTTACTCTGCCCATCAGGGAAAACCCAGCCCTTCAGGAACTGCTCTATAACTATTGTCACTTGAAATGAAAAACCACTTTAAAAAATTTCCACAAAATGTTTGTTTTGCATTGAATGAAGCCCTTAAAGACAAGATCACATGTACACTGTAAAAATGTCGTCTTGACTGTCACCATGTTGCTTCAAATAATATTGGCATTTGTTGGCATTAGGGAAATAACGTGCTGTTGGAGTGTTCACCATGTGTTTTTTGTCTGCTTCCACTTTCTTTTGTCTTTTCCATTTTCACTCACCTTTGTCTCAAATCTCTTCTATTTTACCTTCATTCAGTCTGCATGTGTTTTCCATCTTTTTATCTTCCCCACGTTTCAGACAGCTGTCCAGTATTACAGTGATGACTCATCTGATTTCGAACCATGGGGAAGTCCACTGGATGGCATGAGCCCAGAAGTCAGGAATCCTAGTTGTTGGGTTTTGCATTTGTTTCTCTTCCCCCTCCCTGCCACCACCTTTGCTAGTTACTTACTTTCTGTGTCTTGGTGTCCCTGTCAGATGACAATGAGAATATTTATTCATCTATATAAAATACATTGAGATTGGGGCTGGGGGGCAGGCAAAACCACAAGTGCTAACAATTTCTTTTTGTTTGAAATGATTGTTTTCTTGGCCAGCTTTTTATACTTTCTCAATAATATTTATTTAAACTATGAAGAAATGAAAGATCACATAAAAGGCAATTGATTTTGATGGTGCTAGACTGAGCCCTGTGTTCTCATCAGTGTGCTTTTGACCAGTATGCCTCTGTTCACTTGGATATTATGCCTGAAATTTTAACATCTGAGTGAGGCATCCTTATCTTGCTTGGTTGGTTTGTATTCTTAATACAAGTAACCCTTTTCCTAGTATGATTTGTCATAAGCATTCTGACTCAATTTGAAGTTGGTGATTGTTTGTTACTGCCTAGCAGTAATGTATTTTCTGGATAAATAAATTCCTTCTTTCATTCCTTTCTCAGAGGAAGAATTGTATATGCTGTATCAATTTTTGTTTGGGTGCCAAGGGGATGTTTTTTATTTAACTTGCATATTGCCATGTGGCTACATGGGAGAAGGCAAGATTAGAAAAGTGCTTGTTGAATTTTGAGCAGAAGGCAAGAAATCTGCAATCGTTTTGAGTTCCTATGAAAGTTCATTTATAGCCTTGGACTGTGAAACTTCTGTTACCGATAAATACTTTTTACTAGAAGGGTCATTTATGAAACCAGGTCACTGCCTATCAGGATGGCTTAGGGTTCCTGTGCCTCTTAAAAAGTCAGAAGCAGGAAGTAGAAGTCTTATGCATGTGTCTGCTAAAAACACTAAACATTTTCTCAAAAATCAAGGGAGAAATTCCTGAAGATTTTATTAAAGCTTTGTGTTCTCTTCATCTCCTATGGGGTCTCAAGCCTAAAGCAGTTGTGGTTTTCCTTCAGCTGGAAAAACTGTATGGATGCTGTTGGTTTGCTCAATCACTACATTATGTTTCTACCCTAGTAAGAAAGTTGAAAGTTCATTGTTTTGCTAGCCTTAAAGCTGTGTATTTCTCACAAATGGAATGCTGTGTTTCAAATGAATGTTAATTTAATTGTTGACTGGCATTCAGAGATTTCAGAATTCTTACAGAGAAACTGAGTATGACACTTACTTTACACTTGGAAATGTTAAGAGTGAGTAGTAGTGTCGCAGTACTGAATGTAAAGTTGCTTTGGTTTGCAGCTGTTGTGTAACAATGACTACAGCATGTATCTTTATAAAAGTGTACATTTTGGATTATAATTTTGAAAATCTGGATGACTGTAAAGTTTCGTAATGTAATTTAAAATTATATTGGAAGTATCCACTGTAACACTTATGGCTTTTAAAGCTTTTGTTTGTTTGTTTGTTTTGGGGGTTTTTTTTTGGTGTGATTGTTTTAGCAAATATGTAAGTAAGGATGTGAAGTGTAGCCAATGAAGGAAAAATGAGAGATTTAGGCTTTGTTTATTTTTTTAATAAAAAGCTAATGAAATCTCTTTCTGTTAAACTCAACATGTTATTCCCCCGTGTTTGTTTGTTTGTTTGTTTGTTTATTTCAGGTGTTTGAAGCCTTTCAAACATTTGTGGAAAATCGACTTCCGTTTGATGTTGTTATTGATGGACTCAATGTTTCCCACATAAAACCCAGAAAGATGCACTGTGAAAATGTAAGTGCTGGTTAAATATTCATTAAGGGTTTTGTGTATGCTGATTGTAAAACAACAAGTGCCTCGTTATTACTTATCCTCTTGAGAAACCGATCAAACACTTTTGTTGCACGTGTTACAATGAAGTTCAGAGAGTTATCTATACTTCACAAATTAAAAACTATCAGTGGGAAGATGGTGGTTCTTACATATTTGACTATATTAGCTGTAAAAAAATCTTACCTAAATTTCCTCGTGTATGCAATGCTCAGTTACAGCTAAGGTATTGATAATAATGTTATTAGGGCATACACTGTGTGAATGTGTATGTTTTCATAGTAATAAGGATTTGGGGGAACAAAGTAAATCTACCATATAGAGAATTTAGTCTAATATGGTTATGCTGGTAAGAGTTCTTAAAATAACCCCTTAGTTCAAACCACATCCTGTACAAGTTTAAATTTTTATTTCACTTCCGATTGCCTTAAGCATTTGAGTCTTGTTCTTAAAAGGGCAGCTCAAATTGGCTTCAGTTCTTTCCACTTGGTGGTTGTAGAAGAATAATCCTGCTTTTTTACCAATACCTGTTTTTGAGAATGTCATTAAGAAATGGCTTAAGAATATTTTTTTTGTCAATCAAATATTTACTTTAAATTAGGAATAACAAAGTAGCTGCTCACATGTATTCCACAGCCAGTATTTTAATTTTAATAAAGGAAGTAATTTACTTCTAGTAATGACAAGAAATATGTTTTTGTTGTAAAAACTACTTTAAAACCATTCTTAAGAAGCAGGATATGCTTTCATATATGTAGATAAAAGCAGCTGAGCTAGAGAGGTTAGGTAAACTTGCTGAAAGATGTTTGTTTGGGAGTGGCAGTGAAGTTTCATGAGATACTGGCTCATGAAGAGGGTGCTTTCCTTACTATGAAAATAGAAAAGGAAGTGTACAAGTTGTGTGGATGGGATCAAGGAGGAAGTGTTGATTATCTGAGGAGAATCCCAGGCAGCATGTAATGGCCCAATGTCTTTCTAGATCTAGACAGACAGATCTATGCTGCCAAAGAGGGGGAGAGAAATGAATGTCCATCCTCAGTGCATGCCTGTCCCAGTGTGGGAACTCTGAACAGGATCCTCAATGTTCTGTAAAAGCTGGAGGCATGAGAGCAAAGAGCCAGCCTGGTTTTGACAGATAATTACTGCTGATTTCTGATCAGAAATCTTACTAGGAGGTATTAGCATGCTGAGCAGCATGAACTGCCTTCGAGTTCGTTCTTGGCTTCTGCTGTATTGGAAGGACTTTGGGATACATGATGCCAGAGAGCTCCAGAAGGACTGTATGGAGGCATCAACTTTCCATTTAGGTTGTTCCATATAGAAACAGGTCAGATCTCTCTTGAATCTCAAGTATTTACAGATTAGGAGGATTTTTAGGAAGATCTGCCTTTCCTTCCTGCACAACAGAACAGTAACTTGGGCTCACCCCATCTTACCTCCAGAGGAGATTCTCTTAGCTAAAATTTACTTGTTCTATGAGCTATGTTGCTGTTAATTATTATTGCATTTTGTCATGAAAAAAATGTTATTCATTGGAGCTTCTGCCAGCTAGTCCTTTGCTGCTACTGTTACCTGGATCCTGTTTTTGAGAGTGTGGAGTCATTACGTGAGATAGGATGGACATGTCTGTTACTCCTGCCTTATATCTGTAGATACTCACTGGGTAGTACCTTTTTGGGGATGGGAAGTGTATGTTTGCATTCTAAGCAACAAAATAGCTCCTTCACTGCCCAAAAGAAGTAGTCTTCTAGGCACATGATATACTAAAGACTCTTTCCTGTATTGAGCCTCTCTATTCATTGAGTTACTTTTAAATTATTTTTTATGATAGATGTCTTTATACAGGATTACTGTATTAACTATTGAGTTTATAGTTTTTTCCAACTGGAAACATTGTTTAAATGCAAGATCGTGCTGGATGCTAGCAAATTCTGGTTTATTTCTTCGTAACTCTCAACTTCTGTGTTGTAACATGTCGGGAAAGTACTGTGTCCTTGTTCTTATTTTGGATACTTCTGACAAGAAGCATGTATTCTTGACAAAAACAAACAAACAAACACAAAACCAAAAACCACAAAATCACAAAGCAGAGTATTCCTTTCTTCTGTCTCCAAACTTTTCTTCCAGATGAGGGAAGGGAAGGCCACAGGAATCTCCGCGTGTGTTGCTTTCCTGGTTACTGGTATTGCTGCCAAGTAGTCCCCGATCCGCGAAAGCTGACCGCTCTGAATGCTGTAGTCTGTCCTTTGAGGGCTGACTCAGCCACAAAATACCCTCTTTTGGAGGCTGCTATCCTCACATCAGAGGCAGCTGAATGGAAAATTTGGAGTGGCAGGTCTGGGGCATGCACGGCCTGTGTTACTAACCTCTTCAGTGTGCATAGGGAGCCATAGTGCAGAACTGAGAGGATGGAAAGGAGAAATGCAAGAGGAGTTGGAGGCAGAGCACGAAGGATGGAAGAAGCTAAGAGTGAAGGCCACGGAGGTCAAGCCAGCTGGCTGCGACAGCACGCCTGGCCCGTTTTGAAGAGGAGGGTCATGCTGTGACTCTTCGGTGACCTCTTCTGTTCGACTTGAGAGGAAATGAAGGAGCAGTATTTCCAAGGACCAAGTATTTCCAAGTATTTTCAAGCTGCCCAACCCTTGTTTTGCTTGTCAAAAAGCTAAATTATTTGAAGTCTCCAGGTTGGAGTCGGTCTGTGCTCTTTTCAAGGGTTCCTTACTGCAGCTGTTAGACCCAGTCAGGATATTGTTTTATAAACTTTTCTGCTCCAGTGCATAGCTAGTATTATGCAGCAATGATTGAAACAGAAAATGAGATTGTTGCTCTCTGTTTATAACACACTGTAAACATTACTATGTGCAAATTGTTAGGGTTTTTTTGGACCACGTCCCTTATGTGATTTAGAGAGAATAGCAAAATAAAGGGCATTGTTAAACACAGGGAGAAGGCAGTAATATGGTGATTTAAATGCATTCTAGTCTTTATTTAAATTTGACAAAAAATACCATTCCACTTCGTCATTAGCTGTAAGAACTCCAATGTTTTGCTGAAGACAAACTCTAGCTAACTCTTAGTCATGTGATTAAAATAAGAAAACATTGATAAAATATGCCTTTCTTTTTTCAAACATCCTAACATTTTTAATTCCATTTAGGCATTCTTTAGGCATCTTGGGAAGGGTCTGGGTTCTGTGGACAAGGCACAAGTACCTTGAGGGATGAGAAGAGAAGGAACAAAAAAAAGCAGAAATTGAAGGAATGTTTTTTACTAATTTAATTCCCAGAGTGTTCTGATATTCTGGAAGACTGGATATGTGACTTCCAGTAGCCCCAGGCAGCTTCAGTCCTCACAGCCAGCACTTACTTAGCAGATCATCATGAATATTATTGACTTGGCAGATTTACAGGAATATTCTGTGGCAGTTTCTCCAGTATATGACACCATCGGTTTGTAATTACAATCCCCTTTTTTTCCAGGTTGGTTTTGTACTAGGCCTGTTTCCTGGTACAAATCACCATGTGGCTGCTTCAATTACTGACAAAAAGAGGAGGTAGCACAAGGGTGTAAAGAAAGATTTTTTTTTTTTTTTTTTTTTTTTGAGGGCTAGGGAACGGTGAGATCATCTGATTTGAAGGCAGTGCACACACAGTGACTGTAAAACTGCAGCACTGGACGTTAGCCAGCACCTCTTCTTAACTCTTTGCTTCCTTACTGCAGCATTTAAAATTACAATTAAAGTTGAGTCCGAATTAAAAGACGTTCTAGAACGGAAATTATTTTTGCTATGTAATCCAGACAATAGAAACAAACTCCCATAAAGTCTAAAATAATTCGATCTTGTCTTTTTCCAGGTGTTTTGTGGGGTTTTTTGCATTCTGCTGCTGTTTAAGACTGTACCTGATGCACATTTGCTTTGATGAGTCAGTGACTGTTTGTACTGTAGGCATGGTAGTTTATAAACTGAGATATCCTTGCAGTTTAACTAAGGAAAGTTGATTCACGTTATATCGTGACATTGAGTTAATCCTTTCTTCCAGATGCATCTAATTACATAAATTCTTAGTCAGCAGAATGACATTTGGTACTCCCTGTCCTCTGCTGCCGTAACTCCCGGTAGTGCCCCCACCTTTCACCTTTTAAAGGTCAAGAGAGGGAATTTCCACATGGCAGTTGTCCAGTTCTCTTGCTAAACACAAACTGTTACATAGTTCTTAAATTTATTTTTTCCTGTTTATTGCAATTTTCTGTAGAAGTATTCCTTGGAAGTGAGAGGGAATCCAAGTGCAAGCAGGATATCTAGGCTCTGGAGCGTCTCACTTTTGCTTGCGGGACAGAAATGAAGGGACTATGATGAGCTGTTCCAGCTCCATGTGGAGGGCCAGGGTGGGGGGAGAGAGAGGGGTGAGGAAGCACAATCAGCACGTGCAATTTAAGGAGAACTTTTCTATTTTTAATTTACGTTGAGATTGGTATATGGTAAATGAGATATGTAGCCAGCTCCTTTTTTAGCTGTACCCAGCTGGTGTTGGACATAACTGAATATATATTTCAATTGTGTGTTGGATCAAAGCTAACTCACAATTCCCTTCTTCAAACAGTTTGGTAGTTGGGATCAGCGCTGCTCTAACTTCATCCTCTCTAATCTCTATATTAAACTCAGACATCTAAAAGATTGGTAAAATAGTTCCAGATTGAGTTCCTTAAGGCTGACAATGCACAAAGGAATATTTTTTGCTCTTGGCTTGATAGTTCAAAGTGGTTGTTCCCAAACTTAATCAGCATTTCTATAAATGGGCTACATAAGTTCATGTAATTCCCATGTAAATTTCAGTAGGCCTGTACAACAGCTGACGAAGCCAGCTCCTTGCTTTTCCACTCCCATCACATCCCAGTCTGGCAGCAACAGCTGACATGCCACCCTTACCACACCTCCCACCTGCAGCAGCAGTCAGCTCCTGACA